ACTCCTCCTAATTGTTTTGAAAATTTGTCTCGCATTGCATGTTGTCCAGACACGCCAGATTCCCGAGGCCACGGCCTCGCCCACCCGGTCTTGAGTAGGCCTGGACGCTGTCCGCAACGGTGGTCGCATCGCATCGCATCGCATCTATCTGGGTCAGCGACTGCGGCTCGCAGGCCAGGGGGAGCTTCAGTCAACGGTGGCCTGTGTGTCGCTAGCAATATTAGCACGAACAAAAACACACCCTGCCTTCTTGGAAGCCCCTCTTTCGTCCTGCCCCTATATGCGCGCGTCCGGTCACCGCCGCGGCCGCCGCTGACGCTGCCATCACCGCTGTCGCCGCCGCGGTTATCGGCAAATTGTTGTCCTCGTCAGTGTTCGGCCGTCGCCGCCGTCGCCGTCATCGTCCTCGTCGCCACCGCCGTCGTCGTCGTCGTCGTCGTCGTCGTCGTCGTCGTCGTCGTCGTCGTCGTCGTCGTCTTCGTCGTGGTCGTCGTGGTCGTCGTGGTCGTCGTCGTGGTCGGCCTTCGGTCTTCGGTCTTCGGTCTTCGGTCTTCGGTCTTCGGTCGTCGTCGTCGTCGCCGTCGTCGTCGCCGTCGTCGTCGCCGTCGTCGTCGTCGTCGTCGTCGTCGTCGTCGTCGTCGTTGTCGTCGTCGGTGGCCGTGCCTCCGCCGAGGCCGTGGCGAGGCCGCGGTGGAGGACTGCCGCCGCCAGCTGGAGCGGGTGGCGGCCGACCTGCGCGCGGAGGCGCTGGGCCGGGGCGCGGCGGCGCCCCGGCAGCAGCTGCAGGAGACCAGGCTTTCCTGGAGGCCTTCGGAGGGCCTTCGGTTAAGTCGGGCCTGTCCTCCTACAGGGGGATTCCCAGACCTCCTGGCGTCGTGAAAAAATCACGACGGGAGGTTTTTCGCTATTTTCGCCCTCTGGGGGCCTTTCCCGGGCCTCGGGACCGTCAAAAAACGATGCAGGACGAAAAACCGGTCCCGGGGAAGGGGTCCAGACCTCTGGGGGGCGACGTCGTGAAAAAATCACGACGTCGGGGGTCTGGGTTTTGGACGACAAATAGGCAAGAAATGCCCCCAAATGGTCAAAAGGTACTAAACAGATCGTCCCCAGATTATTTTCTTGGACTATGTTTGAATATTCCTCCTGTAGAGGGACAGGCCCGACTCAAGGCTTCGGGAGCAGTCGGGGCCCCTTCTGAGGCCCGCCGCGTGGGGGCCTTCGGAGGGCCTTCCAGTGCCGCTGGAGGCCTTCGGAGGCCTCGGGGGGGAGGCATTTTTGGGGGGGAGGAGCCCGCGCGTCCTTGGCGCCGTGGAAGGGCGTGGCGTATGCGCTCAGGGCCCCAGGGCCCTCGCGGATCGATTCGGGCCTGGAGATCCCGCGTGAGTGTCGGGTCGGTGCTGTCTCGGACTGATTCGAAACGTTTCGCGTGTCGCCGCTTGCACATGCAGTGACAAGTAGATCGTTCCATCTTTGCGTGGTCTCACGTGCATTGGCCTTGCCTGCTGTGGTATTGTATGGTCTCGTCTGGTCGCGTGCTGTCTAAGCCGGTGTGGTTGGGTGTGGTGACGCTTGTGTCAGCTTGTTCTTGTCGGCCTTGTTCGATACGAGGTCTGATCCCACGTTTTTGCGGAGACCAGAGAGTATACATTCGACGACCCCAAGAAAGGCGATAGCTCGTGGCTCCTTTCCGCTTGCTTCGCATCCTCGTCTTTGCGATCTTCATCGGCCTCCGCTTCCCCGTCATCGAAGGCGTCGTCTTTCTCTTGCACTCCTACCATTTAATTCCCCATGCCTCTATCTTCTTTTTTTGCGTCCCTCCACAGTGATGCCTTCCCTGTGCCGCCCGTGTGTCCGCATTCGGCGGGGGGTGGAATTGCGGGCCCACGGGGGGCTCACTTCTCTCTTGCCTGGTGTGCCCTGGCCTTTCCCGCTTTGCACCGGTCTGTTCCACGGCGGTCTACTGTGGTGCGGTTGTCTCTTGTGGGCTGGTCCTGTCCGGCCTGGGCGCGGACCTTCTTTGGCATGTACCCTGGTACGTCCTGTTTTGCTTGGCAGGATCTGGCCCGCTGCGATCGAGTGCAAGAGGCAAGAGGAGGAGCAACAGGAGGAAGACTGCAAGACTGCGAGGAGCCAGAGAGCGAGCCATTCCATGACGAAGGTAGTAACGCAGTCTTCTGGAGAGACAGCCGAAGTTCGCAGCTCTAGAGGCCCTCCCCAGCCTCTCAGGGGCCCCTCATGCAGTCTTGGAGGGGGGTGTGGACGTCTCTTGGGGGCCTCTCGGCAGCGTTGGAGTCGCCTCTTGGGAGCCTCACGGTGGCTACTTGTATGCCCCATGACGTCTGAAGGGCCTCTCAGGCTGCCTTGGGGGTCCCTTGAAGGGCTCTTAGCCCGTCTTGAGTGTTTGGGGGCCTCTGAGGCTTCCTGTGCCGTAGAACTGTTATCTTGGACCCTCTTGGGCGCATCTCGGAGGCCTCTTCGGGGTTTCTTCGACTGCTTTAGGTTAGATGTGTCTAGGGGCTCTCTCGGTCTGGTTTGGGAGGCCTTCGAAACAGGAAACGGGTCATGTCGGATAGCCTCACCCTTTTTTAGGTGCGTCTGAGGAGGGTCGAACGGACTAACATCGTTGCATATTGTGTTTTTTTTGTGTGCTGTGTGTGTGTTGTGTGTGTGTGTGTGTGTGTGTGTGTGTGTGTGTGTGTGTGTGTGTGTGTGCGCGTGCGTGTGCACATACACACATGCATGCATACATACATACATGCGGACATCGGCAGCACGCGCATATCTGTGTATGTATTGCATGCACATGTCTATGTATATGTACATGTATAGGTATAGGTATGTGTGCCTGTATCTGCGTACATTTATACGTATACATCTATAGACAGCTGTACATGTACATGAATATGAATAAGTATATATGTTTGAATTTTGATATGTATATGTACATGTAAATGTATAGTTGTATGCGTATGTGTATATGTTTATGTACATGCTTATGTATATGTTTCCACCTCTGTGTATGTATATAGACCTATGCAACGGTGCATATACATGTATAGGTGCATGTAAACATACATGTATTTGTGAACGCATATGTATATGCATATATCACATGTATATGTTGATGTCCATGCACAGGTGTATGCGTATCTGAACATGCTTTATGTGTGTATACGTATATGTATGCGTGTATGGACATGTCGATGTATCTGCTGATGCAGATGCATATGTGGATGCACATGTGGATGTAAATACATATGCATTCATCTATGTATAGGCACATGCATCTGCATATGTTTATGTATATGCATATTCATGTGTATGCTATGTGTCTATGCCAATGTATGTGTATATGGATATTCGCATGTTTCTGTACATGCTTATGATGTTTATACTTTTGTGTATGTGTATGTACATGCATATGCACATGCGCATGTGTATGTATGCGCATACGTACATGTGCATGTATGTGTATTTCTATACGTATACAGGTATATATATATATATACCTGCATATATATGTGTATATGTATATGTATATGTATATGTACATGTATATGTATATGTGTATGTATATGTATATGTGTATGTGTACGTGTATGTGTATATATATATGTGTATATATGTATATGTGCATATATATGTTTATGTAAATAAATATGTATATGTATACGTATATGTATATGTCTATGTATATGTATATGTATATGTATATGCATATGTATCTGTATAGGTATATGTATATGTATACGTATATGCATATGTATATGTATATGTATATGTAAATGTATATGTATATGCATAAGTGTATGCATTTGTATATGTATATGTATATGTATATTTGTATATGTTTATATGTATATGTATATATTGTTTATGTATTTGTATATGCACATGTATGTATATGCATATATAACTGCATATGTCTATGTATATGCATATGTATGTGCATAAGTATAGGTATTTTCATATATGTATATATTCATGGATATGTTTGTGCTTAGATACATGCATATGTATATTTATATGCAACTATCCATATTGATTGATGCATGTAGACTTTTAGGTCGATGTATACGTATATATACATTGATATTTGCATGTGTTTGTATGTGTATATAGGATCGCATATGCATCTGTATACATATATATATAGATATGGTCACCCTCCCCCTGTCATCTACCTTCCCTCTTTTTTTCACATCCTCTTACATCGAAGACGTTTAGCACTTAGTTGAAGGGGCTCTTTATGTGTAGCGAATTACAAATTGAACCCTGTTGTGACATCATACAGAATTGCAAATGGATTTCTGTTGTGGCGGATTACAAACTGATTTTCTGTTGAGGCGGATTACACATTGATTCCTTTTGTGGCGGATTACAAAAAGGGACCCTTTTGAGGTGGATTACACATTGATTCCCTTTGTGGTGGATTACAAAAGGAATCCTTTTGTGGCGGATTGCACATTGATTTCTTTTGTGGGGGAGAAAGAACTATACAAAAAACATGAAAACCAATGACAACTGTGAGAAATGGTGAGTTTTCAATGTTTCTGGTGTGGAATGTTCGGGAAAACTATGAAAACCCAGCGTTATCAGCATCCAGAGCTCCAAAACGCTGTGTTTCACATTTTTTGTGAGAAGGAATCAATTTGTAATCCTCTACAAAAGGAATCAGTGTGTAGTCCGCCACAGAAGGAATTCTTGAGGAACCTGCCACCACAAAAGGAATCAATTTGTACCCCCCCACAACAGATTTTTTATTTTTATAAAACAAATGTAAAAACAAATTCGCAACAATAAATCCTTTTGTCAGCGGATGGAGAGAGAGAGAGAGAGAGAAAAATAAAGAAGAGAGAAAGAGAGAGAGAGAGAGAGAGAGAGAAGGAGAGAGAGGGATATATATATATATATATATATATATAGAGAGAGAGAGAGAGAGAGAGAGAGAGAGAGAGAGAGAGAGAGAGAGAGAGAGAGAGAGAAAGAGAGAGAGAGAGAGAGAGAGAGAGAGAGAGAGAGAGACAGAGAGAGAGAGAGAGAGAGAGAGAAAAAAAGAAACAGGGAGGGAGCGTGCAGGCTTCGCGATTGCAGACGCTTGCCGCTGCCCACAAGGGCTTCTTGAGGCTATGACAAGGCGAGAATTAGGCGCATTTGTTGCCAATTTTGGGGAGGCCGGAGCACGCAAGCGATGCTGCGCGCGTGCTCCTCCAGCCCTTCCCAGCCGCCCCCATCCGCGGGAAAGGGAACTTGAAAAGGTTCTCTTTCCCGCTTGAGCTTGGACTGGAGGATGAACTTGCAAAAAGTTCACTCTCTAGCCGCGGAAACGTGAACTTGAAAAGGTTCTCGCCGCGGACGCACCGGCGGCAGCAGCTGCGGCCGCCCCCGGCGGGGCTGCGCCCGGCAGCACTCCGAGGAGAAGGACTGGGCGGAGTAGTGGCAGCGGCGGCAGCAGCCGGGCGCGGCAGCGGCGCCGGCGACGCCCGCCGCGCAGCGCCCGCTCCAGAGCGACGGCAGGCGACCGCCCCGGAGCAGCCAGCACCAGCCCCCGAGGGGCGACGGGCGCGGCCGGCGCTGCCCAATCCGCCGCCGGCGGCGGCGCCGCCGCCACCAGACCACCTCGAGGGGCGACGGAACCCGGCGGAGAGCCCGCCAGCCCGCCCCGCGGCGCTGGCGGCAACGGAGGCAGCGACAAGCCGGCCGGAGCCCGGCCCAGGCGTTACCAGCGCGCGCCTGGTCGCAGCGGCTCTCCAGGAGGCCGGCTGGGCGGGTTTCACGGCGGCGGACCTGCCAGAAGGGCAGGTGCTCCTGCGGTGGAGCCGCGGGGAGGCAGCGCACGAGCGCTGAGCCCGGGCCGCCTGCCTGGCGAGGCTGGCCTGCCCGAGGGCTGGCCGGTCTACCCGGCGACGGTGGCGCTTGATTGGGACGAGCGCCCAAGTGAGCAGGAGTGCGAGGCGCTGGACCAGCCTGCCTTGCGGGAGGAGGAGCCGGCGCCCGCGCCCGCGACGCCGCGGCGCCTCCCAGCTTCGGGGCTGCGCTCGCCAGCCCGGGCCTGGGCGGACCGGGCGGACGTCGCCGACGCGGCCCGCGGGGCGGGCCGCGAGGTGGCGACGCCGCCGCGCCAGCGCGACCCACCGCGGGCGAGCAGCGGGGGCGGCAAAGCGCGCCGGCGCGGCCGGAAGGCGGCGGCGCGGCCAGCGGCGACAGGCAGCGACGGGGCACCGGCTGCCGGCGGCGGCGATGCGGTCGCCGCCGCGCTCTGGGAGGCGGCTGGCCTGGCTGGCCTCCCCATGGCAGCCCAGGCGGCTGGGCTGCTGGAGCGGGCCGCCGCGCTTCTCCTTTTCCCTGCGGCTCGGGAGGCGGTGGCGCTGCTGGCGGCTGCGGCGGGCGACCCGCCCGCCAAGGGGCCCGCGGCGCTGCTGGCCGCCCGCGAGGCCTTCCGGTCCGCCTAGCGGGCGGCTGCCGCTGCTCGCGGCCGCCGTGTGGCGGCGGAGGATCCGGCCGCGCGGCGGGCAGCGCGCCCCGCAAAGCCGGGGCGCGCCCGGCGGCTAGCTGGCCGCCCCTTCACTGCTTGCTCTTGCTGCTGCTTTCCCCTTCTCCCCCGCCCTCCCCTTTTGCTTTCCCCCTTTCCCTTTCAGTCGCCACGGGGCGCACCCCCTCTCCGGATGGTAAAAGAAAGTGAACTTGAAGAGGTTCTCGTTCCCGTTTTTGCTTGGGCTGGAGGGTGAACTTGAAAAGGTTCGCTCTCTATCCGCGGGAACGTGAACTTGAAAGGGTTCTCGTTCCCGCTTGTGCTTGGGCTGGGGGGTGACCTTGAAAAGGTTCGCTCTCTATCCGCGGGAACGTGAACTTGAAAAGGCTCTCGTTCCCGCCGGTGCTTGCGCTGGGGGGTGAACTTGAAAGAGGTTCACGTTCTAGCCGCGGGAAAGGGAACTTGAAAAGGTTCTCGTTCCCGCTTGTGCTTGGGCTGGAGGATGAACATGCAAAAAGTTCGCTCTCTAGCCGCGGAAACGTGAACTTGAAAAGGTTCTCGTTCCCGCCTGTGCTTGCGCTGGGGGGTGAACTTGAAAAAAGGTTCACGTTCTAGCCGCGGGAAAGGGAACTTCAAAAAGGTTCTCGTTCCCGCTTGTGCTTGGGCTGGAGGGTTGAACTTGGAACGGTTCGCTCTCTACCCGCGGGGGCGAGAACTTGAAAAGGTTTTCGTTTCCGTCTCTGCTTGCGCTGGAGGGTGAACTTGAAAAGTTTGATTTTCTAGCCGCGGGAAAGGAAACTTGAAAAGGTTCTCGTTCCCGCTTGTGCGCGGCCTGGAGGGTGAACGGAAAAAGTGTTTGCCACTGCCTTCTTCTCCTCCTGCTCCTCCTTCTTCTCTTCCTCCTCCTCCTGCTCCTGCTTCTGCCCCTCCTCTTGCTCCTGCTCCTGTGCCTTCCCATGAGGGAGACCTGAAGGAGCCATGAGGGCTCCCTCATGGATCCCTCATGGCTTCATCGTGGCTCCCTCGTG